AAATCTTATTTTGTTTTTGATTGCTCGGTTTGTATGTCAGATAGATGCTATAGTGGCCCGATCGTAAGAACTCGGGATTTGTAGGAATTTTGTGAAGATATTTCGGTAAATAAAAACGTTTTTCATACAAGGTCTTGAGTTGAATCAAGAATTCACAAGACAGCTATATTCTATAGTSGTCCAATATCTGCGGTTCYGACAAATGAGCAGCTACTTGGGGAGAAAAGGACGTGTGCGCAATAACAGCTCAATATCAAGAACCCTGAAGAACTAGTTCGCGTCTGTGCAGACCGACGAATATGATAGAGCCGACTCAACTCATCAYGCTGATATTTTCCGATATTTTTTTCTGTTTGTTATAAACTACATGCAAACCTAATATACCSTGTTCAGGGTATAGAAAGTGTTTATCGTTAAATAATACAAATATTTTCTCAACAAAAAAAGTTCCCTATATGAATGTACATACAGTTGTGTTCAAAATAATAGCAGTGCATCGCAATATAAAATACAAAGTTATGTTTTTCAACAAACACAAGAATTTTATTAATTTAATTTTTATCCACGAATTGTKCATTTTATGCAGTCTTTTTATGCACTTTTAAATTTTTATTAATACAAAGTAAATGAAAAAAAAGTAAAAAATATTTAAATAAAAATCTCAATAATTCGGTGATCAAAATAATACGAGTGCATCACAAAACAAAGTAAAACTAATAATAAATTAAAAAATTGGAAATTAGGACGAGTTTATAAGTTAGTTTAGTTAATATTTAGTCGGGTAACTGTCATTTTTTATTGCCATGCCTCGTGGACTGTGCTTCATTATACCCTTGTACTTGAGGGTCTACGGTCAGTAACACCTGTTTTAATATATGCCTATAAATTATCTATGAAATTAAAGTCAGGCAACTGAGCAGGCCAAGACATAACCTCAATTTTATTGACCCGAAGCCATTCCTTTTCTGATTTACTTGTATATTTCGGATCGTTATCTTGATGAAACAACCACTTTAATGGCATACTCCATTCCGCGTATGGCAGCAWAAYTTWTTTCAATATATYCRCATACACATACTGATCCATGGTTTMTTTTATCAKATGGATTGGTGCCACGCCGTTGCACGAGAAACTTTCCCACTATGCACCACCATGTTTGACGGTCTTAAGACTGTATTGCGGATTATATTCCGTATTTGATGGACGACGGATATACTGACTAGACCCTGTGCCACCAAATAAAACCACCTTATATTCCTCTGTACACAAAATACATATGTCTCTATTTCTTCTGTTGCCAGTTGCCATGTTCTTTGGCGAATTGGAGCCGTGCTCTAATTATGTTTCTTTGTCAAAAATTGAACTTTTCGCCGATTCCGTGCAAATAAATTATATTCCATTAAACGTCTACGATCTGTTACGTCACTAACAACCATTTCTAGACGTTTTTTTATTTCTCTAGACGACACTTTGCAATCTTTTTTAGACGACAGGAGGTTTTGCGTTTTCGTCCACCTGTTTCGGTTTTATTTTTGTAGGACAGRGAATTTGGGGGATTAAATTAAAATAAATGACTTATCCTTTAAAAAATCTCACGGTTTTTATTTTTTTGTACTTACTTTTTACTTTTTACAGATTTTGTTTAAATATAAAAGTAATATACACCTTGGTAGCTCACACTCTTATTTTTGAGAACAGCGCAATTCAGTGACCGACACAGATTTTAACTCGTAACATTAGAAATAATTTAAACAGCTGAAGTTTATGCTTTGTGTTTTACGCGCGGAATACCGTTAGAAATACTTCTCGAAAAGTGCTTGACGTTCATGGTCTGATATGATAATTTTTTTGGGTTAAATATTTTTCTCAGGGGCACTCCTATTATTTTAGACATAGCTGTACATACATACATACATGTGTACAAAGTTACACTCTTTTCCCATATAGTATGTGGCTCCATATGAATACTTACAAAGGCTACAATTAATTAAGTGGATTCTATGAAATGATAAAAATGTCATTTGACGTGCAATGAAATGAAAATTTTCTCCAAGTAAATTTCTAAATTGGCTGAACGTCATTGCTATGCAATTAAAATTTTTATGGCAAATTTTCTATGTAACGAAGCGCATGCATAGTACATACACATACGTACATATATGTATGTATGTAGATAGATGTGCATACAAACGCCTCGCAGGCAATAGAGCTTATTTGATCTCTTATACGATATGTATACATACATACGGGTATATGCTTATGTTTGTGTGTATACACGCATGCGGTGATGTCACTGCAATGGCCTTTTTAATTSTAATACAAATTGTATATCGCTTAAATGCGAATGGGACATTGAATGTATGTTTTCTTATATATATGTACAATTGTGGGCCGAAAATAGTAAGACTTGTTAATTGACGACGAACCACGTCCAGGACGGCAATCAGCATGAACTGATGATCAACACGTAATTAGAATAAAAGAAATTAGTGCTTGAGAATCGACGATTAACAGTCAGAGAACTAACTAGCATCGTTGGAATATAGGAAGGATCGTAAAAAGCATTTTGAAAAATMATTTGGGCCTCCGTTCCCACGACAGTCGAGTATACGTAACCGGAACGGACTCGGATTTTTATCTGGTCAAGGCAGGTCAAAAATCAAGGTTATGTCGACAATTTTMTTCGATTATCGAGCATTTCTATTCTATTCTTACTACTTTTCGCCCATAGTAGTATACATATATCTGTGTGAGTAAGTACACTTGGTATTTCGTTGTAATTTTATATTTCATTTTCAGCATACTGCTATTCTACATTAGTAGGAGAGTTACTGTAAAATTGGCCATATAACTAATCCTAGTTAAGACATTTGCTTTTTTTTTTACATTTAAAGATATCACTTATTTATTTCATGGCAATTACCCTGAATTGAAAAATTTTAGTGCGCAAAAATAAAAAGAAATAAGCAAAACAAATCGATATTTGTTGAGCAAAATTAAACAGCGCCTGAGTGTATGGTGGAGAAAGTGGTGTCTGAAATTTGCAATAAAAGGTAGGACGTTAAGCAATGGCTTGCAAGAGGTCAAGGTGAGTAGAAGCTAATTTTGCGTGCACAGTTTACCACGAAAAAGGTAAAAAAAGGCAAAGAGCAACAGCAAACAGTGGTTCCATTTAGCGATGATATCAATACCTTTCACATTTTTATTAATTAATCAGTTATCGCACACATTGTTTTTGAGGAATCATTTACGATTTTCTTATTTCTTTCAAATTGGAGTCATTCTCTGCTACATTGCAGAATTTTTAAGACAAGCGAAGCTACACATAAAAATGTGACTAATGCTAAATAATTAAGCCCAAGTATATTACCTATACATCGCATTTATTAATTAATATATTTTGTTAAATAATTGTTTCAGAGCCAATGTACTAAGTATATACATACATACAAACATACGTATGCTATTATTGCGATTCAATAAATTTTTTATTTTTATAAAAGTTTAATATTATCGGTACACGCTGCCTCAGGGGAAATTACGCACATGTTGCAACAATCAATGCGTTTTAAAACGTAAAACCGCTGGAAAATAATGCATTATATTTTAGTTTTCTATTGGCAGTGACCATGACCTAGACGAGAGCCGTGGGAAAAGTGCCAATTGGAAAACCAATAGTGTGGCGTTTATTCTCTAATTCTATTTTATATGTTTGCCAAACACATACATATGTATGTATGTATATGTGTGAGAGCAGATATATATGTATAAACTTTTACWATATATAGATAAGTTTTCATATATGTATATACATATATCGACCTTTTCGTGTGAATTGCATATTAGTTATTTTACTTTATTATTTTTATAAACTTGCAACATGTTGCTACAGAGTTTTGTTCACTTGTTTAGTTGTATGTATCACTTAAAATTAATCTGAATGATTGTCCGTCCGTCCACCTGTTCTACATCAACTTCAAAATCTGTTAATCATATGTAATATCCTTCATAAATACAAAATGCGCGTTGACGACGAAACGATATCTCCTCAAATGAAAAATGTTCCAACAATTCTACACAATMACCTGATTGTATTTATAAGGCAGTTGTATGCTATAGAGGTCCGATCTGAACATTTGTTTCATTCTGAATTGGATGGATATGTAAATGTACGGACATTAATGAAATGGGTTTAAAAATAAAGGAGAAATTTCAAAATTTCTTCATTTTCAATACAATTTAGAGTTGACATTTTCCTAGAAATTAATCGCGATATCTTTAATAAATAATAATGTCTTAAATAAACAATTGGACTGGAAYGTAGAAACAGCTGAATTGTTATCTGCAAAACCTTGAACCTATGTAAGTAATGAAGTACAGTTGTACTTAATTTATAATTGTGTTTGTTATTTAATTTTAAATTAGTGTTGTTTATTTCCAAATTATTATTAGAATTTATTACCAGACTTTGAAATTTAATAGAAAYGTTAATTAAGTTGGAAAATTCTTAAATATCAATTAAAATTCCAACGTGACCAAATAGAAGACCTGTATGTATGTACACGTATATGGTCGCAGTAAAAAAGAATTTAAAATTTCCAGAAAATAACAACAGCTGTCGATAAGATACGCCTTGCTCGTTGTATATAAATTAATTGACGGAAAACAACTACAACAATAAGTGTTACGACTAGTCAGTTAAGTTGATTTGTGAGATGTACAAAAGTAGAACCAAATAGTCATCCTTGCCACATATTACATACATATGTTTTTACATACAATAATATCCTATCCACAGAAAGTGTTGTTGTTGCTTAGCACTTTTCTTTTTGTGTGTTATTGTGCTAAATGTTTTTTCAAGTAGCTGTTGTATTCTTTTAATTGAAGATGTGTATATACGTAAATTTAACGAACGCATACAAAATGCAACAAAAGCAAGAWATAAGCCCCTAAAGATCAATTACAGACACAATGAACGACAATAAGTTATAGAAACTTACCTCCAGTCTGTCGCAGACCGGCACTGTTGGGTGGTGTTATACTAGAAACTCCTACAGCACCAGCGCTAACACCTAATGACTGATTGGAGGCGCCCATAGACAAGGAAATTTGGCTTTGCAATTGCTGACGTAGAGTATCGGCAGCCCCAGATGGTACACTACTAGATTGAGGCACAGCAGATGTGCCAGTGCCAGCACTACCGCCACCACCGGGTGAAGATGAATCATTTCCGGTCATTGCATGATGAGTAGCAACAGSAGCTGAACTGTTACCATGATAGCTGCTCAATCCGCTCCCAATGCGTATCGGTGTACTACTTGTCGTCATCAAGTTGCTGACATTCGAACCCCCTGAGCCAGCTGCCGTAGTTTGCGTCATTGCMAATAAAGTGTGATTCGGACTTTTTTGTCTTTAGTTATATATATTTTTACAAAGTTGCTAATATGTTTTTCGTATTATAAAGAAAAAACTGTAATGCATCTAGGCACTGTGTTCACTTTTATTTTTTATTACTGCAACACAATATTTTTTCTAATAAATTATGTATTGATTTTTTTCACAAGATTCCACTGTATTTTATTAGATTTTATAAATTTTAACTTTTTGTTGAACTTATGCAAAGTAGTTTCCACAACACTAACTAATTTACATACACTGAACTGTTTATAAATCAATTTAATTTAAACCAATTCTTTTCCCTTCCGCCCGTACACCAWCTGATCTTTCCAAACGTAACCAAAAGCAACCAAAATCAGCGAGTCAACCTATTCCAATGAAACYAAATGAAAATTCATGCGAAAATGCAAAACACCAAACAGGGTTGCTAGCGATGACATACACAGTGTGGTGAATATCTTTTCGAAATAGTATAAAAGTAGTTGTGGAGCAACTTTGCTTTGAACGATTGTAAAAAAATGGGGTTTTCTGAAGGTATGATAACTTTCAAAACATATTTATATCATTTTAAACTAATTAAACTGTAACAATAGCATTTTAAAGTTTGCTTTACTCAAAATTTGAGAGTAAATCTAGAGCACAAAGTTTAAACAGCATACTAAACACCAATTAAGAATCTTACCGTGTTGGATTTATGGTTATATTATTTCACAGTGGGCTCTTCTTAACTTAAGAGGCTATAAACTAGGGCGACTGACTTACGTTACATGCAGCGGGTTCACCGTACTTATATACACGTTTAACAAGTAAATTTATTTARATATTTATTATAWTATTCAAAGTTGTTTTGTCCTAATAAAAACCGCCATTAATTGCATGTTTAAGAGTATTTTTATTATTTTGTTGAACCAAACTTAAGAACACAATTGATGAATTCTTAAAAATAAATTTAGTTTTTCATGCATATTTCAGTTAGTTTTATGTAATAGTATAAAAAATAAATATTGTCAATATTCTAATAGGCTTAAGAAAAAGATTTGTGAATGAAAAAAATTACGCATGTACTGATTTGTTGTCTTTTTTGATTTCTCCCGTTAAGGACAATACTAAAGTGCACCGCGTGTTTGTGCCTCTTTTTTTGGGTTTAACCTGAACTTCCTTGTTTTATTATTGCGCAGTCGGAGTCAAGCATTTTTGCTGCATGTTGCATTATTTAAGCTTTTGATTTGTTTGTTACTTTACCACTACAATTAAATTTTACTTTCTATAATATTAATTTAGTTTTGAATGAGTTACAATTTGCTAAGCAAGCTTTTTAAACCCTATCCTTCTTAAAGACACACTGTGGATACTGCAGTTGCCAACTTCTAAAGAAGTGCTGTTAATCATCGAAGTCTATGTCAGAATCATCTGAATCATATCCGCTGCGAATGGTCTTGTTCACACGGTTGATATAGGCCTTCTTTTTTACGTCCGGTGGGGTCATAAGGTCACCCTAAGATAATATATACAAGTATATTTAAATTAAATAAATCAACAGAATTAAGTTGTTAAGGATGATTACCTTATAATCAATGGCACCGGATTGTGCTATTCGCCATTCCAACATTTCCGTTGAAAAATCATCGCAGTTACCCAGGTCGGTAAATCCAACTATAAAGTCCTTCGTTTTACTGTCCTTAACTAATGCAATGGTTGGTATCACTTTTATGCGTAGTCTTTGTGTCAGGAACGGTGACTTCTCAGCATTCACTTTACAGAATTTCGCCTCAACATGTTTACTTGCAAGTATTTTCAAGTGCATATCAACAATGCGGCAGCGTTCTGTAGAGTCTCGATAGAAATGACACACAATATTTGGCGACTTTTTTGAAACTTCAAARAATTCTTTTTCATCGGCCAACTCAGTATATGTCCCATGACCCTGGAAATATAACAAGAAAGCAACAAACGTGAATAAATTTAGTTATCAAAAATGAGAGCTGGAACACCCACATTTTTAAGCCACTCCTGCTTTTTACGGTTAAGATCTTTCATTTCTTTGAGGCGTTGCTCTCGTATCGATTTTAAGTCATCGGAGTCCAAATTGTCCAGCTGATCCAATTGTTGATCCARCTGCCTTTCAATCATTTGCGCAGCCGTCAGTAATTGATTTTCCAACATATTAGCCATTTCTTCTTTAGATATCCGCAGACCGGCGTGGCAGGTGTAACAATTATTTAATAATACACRGAAAAGAAACACGTGTCGCAGTTAAAAATTAAGCAGTTTCCTTAAATTTGGCGAAAACTTCTTGATTCTTTTTAATTTAATATTTTCCTTTTGGAAGTAATATATGTTTTCGAATTTTTTTGGAATTTTTAGATGTTTCTATACACGAAAATGGAAAACATTTGTCATTCATATTAGTCGCCGCTCCCAAGACCTTGCCACTTTTCCTGAAATCTAAATTGATTAAAAGCAATGAATTATTTAAAGTTGAATGCGAATAATTTTAACAGTAATATTTCTTTTATTACCTTTAGCATTCTTTTTAGCCCATTTTAAAAAACTAATTTCTTAAAAACATTTGGTTTTATAAATATGGGCCGGTTACACTAAGGACCATGGTTGCTATAACACTTATTATTTAAAAGAAAAAATCCGAAAAGAAAACCAGAAGCACAACTTTTGTTTAATATATAATAAATGGCTAATTTTGTTTATAAAAAATGTTTGCTTTATATACGTTGACTTTATATTTTTTAACTTATTTAAAATAAACTAAAGTTTCTTAATAAATATACTTAACCGCAACTGTATCGGCTGTTAGTGTTGGAGACTGCTTAAATCGAAAATGAAATAAAAGAACTTACATTTCATAACAGGCATCTAAATCTAAAATTTGTTACATTACAGTTGATTACATCTTATTGCAAAATATCGGTGACAGTTTTAAAATATATGCTTATATTATATTTAATTATATAGAGATCAGTAGTGATGAATACAGCTGATTTCAAAAGGGGAGCAGAAATACATCTCTAAACGTAGACTTGCAACTCTGTAGAAGTTACTAAAATTCACTTAATATTGCTTTATCGAAAGTCTTTATTTCTTTTGCTGGAGGAACTTTCCGATTTTTTACGCTTCAATTTGAAGCTCACATAATTTCACTAAAATTTATTGAAAGGTAAATTAATCAGCTGTTTTACAAATTTAAATTGCGAACAGTCGTACCTTCTATGCATTTTTTGCATGTGAAATTAATTGTGGGTACAATGAAAAAGWTAATACATTTTGTGCTACTTTTGTTTAAGTAGAGTGTGGAGTGCGTAATTTTTGTACATTTTATTACTGAACATAATTGGGCCATCATAAAAGCCATAAATAGTTTGTAATCTGTCGCTGAACATAAGTGGAAGTAATCAATGTTCTGAAGTTAAGAATCCAAACAAACACGTCAGGTGGCTGGCATATGCATATACATATATATACCTATATAAAAAGTTACATTAATTATTGCTGCTTTCCCTCAAGTAGATATTATACAAACAATTATACATATGCAGCATGTAACTTCATTAAAATTTCATTAAACAAAATTGCTTGTTACTCATATTTAGAGTATTATTATAATATACATATATGTGTACATKTTTATTCAAAGCCATTTAGGTTCTATATATTTGTGAAGAAACGATCAATTGAAGTCTCACAAATCATACATTCATAAATACATTTTCTTCTACGTCATGGCAGACTTGCAATCAGCCATTACATTGGTTGGCCTAAGTTGGTTCGAGGAGTTATATGCTCAAAGGATAAATAGCGTCTTTGAATTATGTTAAATCATGCAAATTGTAGCAATAGATGCACCACAAAATTTATAATGCATCTGCACATTTATGTATATATATGTTTTAATAATGTTTATTATTATTTACATAATTTGGCAATAATTCTATAATATGAGGATATATTTTCTATTAAAATAGTTCACAATCAAGAGAGCGTGGAAATAGTATGACACACATACAATAAAAAACAAAATAATTTGAAATATTTGAGTGTCAAAAAATAACTAAAAAAATATGCATAAAAAGTAAATTCAAGTTCATTTTAAATTGCTTAATGTAAAGTAGGGCAAAATTCTGGAAGGGAACAAACGCGTGGAAAATAAATTAAGTGTAATTAAAAAAATAAAAATATAAAACTTTAAATAGCTTTACATTAGATTTCTGATTTGYCGATTGTTGCATAATATCATGATATTTATCTCTTTCAGCGCGGAAAATTTGAAAACGTTCGAGGGAAACCAAAGCTTTTTCTCTCATTCAGTTTTAATTTAAACTGAATATAAAGAGCTCATAACAAAACATCGCTCATTTTAATTAATCATACATAAAATGGAGGGCGATAAATCTACAACAATTCTTATGGCTCGTGATATCTCTAATGAAGAATGCGTTGTTGATGCTAGTATTCCGATGGGAAATGCAACAGAATCCACCTCTGATTTGGAATCGCCTGTGCACTCGTGTGTTGAATCAATACTACGTAGCGATGCTGATGACGACGATGAAGATCTAATTTTCCAGGAGGTCAAAATGATATTACGTAAACGCAGAGGTTGGGGTCCGGAAGATTCACTCAGCGCTAACGACTTGGATTTACTTGAGTATGACGACGAGTTGGTGGAGGAAGATGACGCTGGCTGCCCCTTGCCCTCAACACCCGAGGATACACAACTGATTGAAGCTGAGGTGAGTAGTGCTGCATATGTATGTATGTATAAGTGTATTGTTTACATGACTTAACTTTTAATGCATATACCAGACATTCATACATATGTATTTTGTTTACTTAAAATTCGCATGTTTCAATTTGTTAATTATTTGAAAAAAAAATCTTATCGCCGATTCTTGAACTTAGGAGCAATTTTGCGATAACTGTATATGTGAGCTTGCGATTTTCTAAGATTTTATAAGTCAATTAATGATAAAAAAATAATTAAAACACATTTGAAACATTTGCAATGTTGCGGCTCTTGATAGTGACATCATTAATAATTTCCGCATAGGAATCGCCCATTTAAGGTATATTTTGTGAATGAGACCAAAGGAAAATTTGCTTTTTTCCGTGATTTTTCACCAATAGAAATTGTACTCTTATCAGTATCTAATAATGTGTGTTTGTTTSTTATGTATGTATGTATGTATATTTCCGGGGTTAAATATTTTATCGTACTTTCAGTGGAATTCTCAAACAACACGATTCATTGATTAAATTTTATTTTTATTTTGACAGACCATAACGAAGAAAAGACAGTGATACATCAAAATTATTTGAAGTAATTAAAAATTAATTTTACAATTTTTTATTCTGAAGTTAAAATATTAATACATTTTTTCATGATACAAAGTACAAAAATGTAATGCAAATGTGTTAAAAAAAAAAAATTATCCACCAGTCATCATAATATCGGTTATTAAGAACAAATAATAAACTTACACAATACTTTCAGATGACCGAGGTTTTGAAAGCGGGCGTCTTATCGGATGAGATCGATTTGGGTGCATTAGCCCACAACGCCGCCGAACAAGCAGAAGAATTCGTGCGCAAGGTGAGCACACTTTGTCAACTGTTATTTATACAAGCATTTTATGTTAAAAATAAATTTGTTTAGGTCTGGGAAGCTAGTTGGATGGTATGCCATTATAAAAATTTACCTAAGTGGCTGCAGGACAATGACTTTCTGCACCGCGGCCATCGCCCACCACTGCCCTCGTTCAGTGCCTGCTTCAAATCGATATTCCGTGTGCACACCGAAACCGGCAACATCTGGACACATTTGCTAGGCTGCGTGGCGTTCATTGGTGTTGCTTTGTATTTTTTGTCTCGCCCATCCGTTGAAATACAAATACAAGAGAAAATCATATTTGGCGCTTTCTTTGCCGGTGCCATCATTTGCCTGGGTTTCTCATTCGCTTTTCACACGCTTAGCTGTCACTCGGTAGAGATTGGAAGACTGTTTTCAAAGTAAGCAGAAACGCTTTTAAGAAATATAATAACTTTACGAAATCATCTTTTCTTTTTAATTTATTACTTATTATTACTATTCTTTATTACAGATTAGATTACTGTGGAATTGCACTCCTGATTATGGGCTCGTTTGTGCCCTGGTTGTATTACGGATTCTATTGTCATTACCAACCCAAAGTTATCTATTTATCTGTGGTATGCGTATTGGGCTCGCTATCGATTATTGTCTCACTGTGGGATAAATTCTCTGAACCTGGTCTGAGGCCACTACGCGCCGGTGTCTTCATGAGTTTCGGCCTCTCTGGCATCATACCAGCTATTCATTATAGTCTGATGGAGGGTTGGTTTAGTAAAATCAGTCAAGCTAGTTTGGGTTGGCTAATACTGATGGGTAAGTACACCGCCTTTACACAAAATTTGAAGTAAATCTTTATTTTTATGTGTTTTCTTTTGTGTTCTTGAGGCCTCCTTTATATACTTGGTGCAATGTTATATGCCTTACGTGTGCCGGAGCGATGGTTTCCGGGCAAATTTGATATATGGGTAAATCGCATGCGTTTTAGTTATATGTATATTTCTGTTCAATAATTGTTGAAATATTTACGTTACAGTTCCAATCGCATCAATTGTTCCATATACTCGTCATTGCGGCTGCGTTTGTGCACTATCACGGCATATCCGAGATGGCAATGTATCGCGTAACGGTCGGCGAATGCACGGTACCACACGAACCAATCACGTTCTAAGCGGAAAGCTGGTTATTTATGCTAAAACTTTTGGTTTATTTATCCATAATTTGTTTTGGCTGCGAATGTTTGCAAAAAAAATTAAAGTTTATGAACRAAAGGCAGAAGTCGAAAGTTAAAATTTAAACATTAGTATCATTTATAATTTATGTTATAATTAAAAACTAAAATATGGCGATATAAAAATAGAAAAATAAATATAAACGTACACATTTTCATATCTATTGGGACAAAATTGCATAGTCCACTTAGTAGAAAGAAGCCGACTGTTAACGGCATAAAGTTATTGAAAAATTGTAATTTACACATTGTTATTTTTAATATACATCTCATACATATATGTATCAACACATTCACGCATCGCATCATACACACGTAGATTTTGAGAAGCATATTAATGTACTTTGGACGTAGGTTCGTTCATTTATAGCTGAATCGTGCCCTTTTGAAAAGAAACGTTTTTATGCATTCTACAAATTACACCAACCGCTAGAGATTTTACAAGCGCTATTTCAAATCCAGTGAAACAATTAAAATAATTACTTCCTTTGCTGCTAGGTAATTTTAATTATTGATGCTAATTTAAATATTGATTATCAGTTATAAAATTAAAGTCAAAGCAGTTTAAAATTTATACTTTTTTTATTAAATTTACACATGCCGATCTTAAAAAAAAAAACTTGGCTTATTTTGACTTCGCGCAGTACATAAAAAATAAGCGTTAAGCTCTCATTTTATATTTTATTCTTTTATTATTTTCTTTGTTAAATTGCTTTGAATATTGTTAATATTTTTATTGTTAAAGTTTTATTAATTGAGTTGCGCTTTGTTTCCCAGCAGGGTTGCGATA